TATTAAATTAATTTATTAAACCAAACGAGAAAACCATAATTAATCATTAAACTATAAATCAAGGTTTCGTATTAAACTGTTAAAGATGTTTAACATCTTTGAGTTATTTATATTTTTTATTTTTTTTTATAACTTTTATAGCACTTATATTTTTTAAGCTAAACAAGTCACGACGATCGCGTACCATGACTTAAGTTTGGCTTAAAGAGATATTCTTTGTTTTTGAGAAAACAACTTGTGTTTACTTCAACTAAAACACAATTTATTTATTTATAAAATTATTTCAATAATAAATAATTTAATAATAGATTTCGTAGCTTTATACTCATATTTATTTTAATTTAATTACTTTATTTATGTTATTTCTATACAACATAACACACGACTCAAATGATACAACACCGCAATGCGACTTCACCCAGCAGAATTCACCGACAAACTGGCGACAGCAACAACTCCCTTCTGGCGTTATTGTTTATTTCATGCAATGTACCAAACAGGGTTGCCGTGTAAATTGGTTTTTATTGTGTGGGCAGTGAAGAAAATATGTGTATGTAATGCTGTAAATGCAAATAAATGGCATAATGTTTATATATCATTAATTTTTAAATTTAATTTTTTAAATAATATAGTATACTATATTTTTATTAGACATTATTAGAAAAATTATAATAGTATATTATTAAAATATACACTCTTATTTTTAATAAAACTATTTTTTAGGCCGTGTACGAGTTTGAATAAATTGATGGTAAATTGAGGACACTAATAAATTATCTCTGTATGGCAGCGAATGTTGGTATTTACCAGAACTTCGAGTAGGGTAAATTAGATAAAAATTAAGTATTACTATTGTGAAAATTTTATAAGATGTTTAATAAATAAATAAATAAATTTTTAAACTTTTAACCAAAAATTATAAATAAGTAAATAAATAAATAAATATTTATATAAGTACAGTGCTAAAAATCCCTAGAAACTTTTAATTTGCTTTACCTCAATTTATTCGAACTCGCACCCAGCCATAACAGAAAGGTTTTTGAACAGTAATAAACTACAAGCATAGTATTATTATTTTCAATCTATTATTTATTTTACATGTGTATAAGTACATACATATTTTTTAAAAAATATACTTACATTTTAAATTAACAATAATAAACTACTATTAACTATTCAAATATTACCAAATTAATAATTAGTAAATTGTTATGTTGCTTTATATAAACCAACTGCAATACTTTTTAAAATTTCAAATAAAATTACTAATAATGGTAATAATTTAAATTTATACGTTTTATGAACATAAAAATATAATACAATTCTATTTATATAATTAAAAACGGTTATTACTATTCAAAAGGAAGAATAATAATAAATTTAGTCATTTTCAACATAAGAATTATTTATTTCGAATTAAAAATCAATTATAACATTAATTAATTATTTATTATAAAGTAAAACGTATGTAAACATCTTTTAAAATGAAATAGAGTTTTATTTTACTGAAAATATGATCAACTTTTCATTACATCAAATAATACACACATCAATTTTAAATTTAAACTTATGGAAGAAAAATTGATTCACAGCAACACTGCTTGTACTACGTTTTCAAATTCTAAGAATTAAGAGAAACCCACAAAGAGAAAATATTTTTCATTACATCACCTGTTGCGGCCGTTTGTTTATATTATTTTCGGATACACATAGTAACTGTAACATAAGTAATTAGTATGACAGAAAGTAGGTAATAACAAAATTAGTTTTGTTTCATTGTGCAATATATCAATACATAATTAATTATTAATAATTAATGATATGAGAACTAAATATTGATTATTACAATGTAATATAATTATATAAACTTCTATAGATATTTATTAATAGTAGCGGTATAATCGACCGCTTCTAAGCAGGGCAAAAAACAATAAGTCGCTTGTTTTAAGTGTATAAGAAACATATTGGCACTACGGTTGCAATCTGTCAAATGTTATGTTTTCGCAAAAAGCGAATCTTACATATGTGCACATAATGCAAAGCAAACTACACTTTGTATAAAAATTAATAATTTCCACAATTTTATATATTTTTAAAATGTTTCATTTCCACAATTTTCAAATTTAAAAAATTTTTTAAATTTTCTTTGAATTTTGTTTGAAAATTGAAAGTTGAAATTTCCAATGAAGATTCACAATGGATCGCTTATCGCTTTGGTAACATTTTTTTTACAATCGCCAAGTGATGCCAAATTATTCTTAAGCAAGCAGAAGATATTCTATTAGAACATTCGTGTCAAAAGAATACACATATTGTAAGACAATGTAATAATGTAATTTATTTAAAATCATATTAATACATCACTGAGTACTATCTGATTTATATGAATTTTATTATTAAACGAATATTATTCAATGTCGGAGAAACCTTTAACATAAACTTTTGAAAATATCTCAAATATTATAAATATCAGATAATATGTTAGATTCTTTATGACTACAAACAAAATTCTCATAAATTTTACTTATATCTTTTAACAACTCTGTTACAAACGGCATAATAACAACGTCATAACGATGTGAAATTGCGGTTAGTATGTAAAGAACGATAAGGTTTTCGCGCATATTAAAAATTAATCGTATATTAATTGTTTTTAAATAAATCTTAATTTCATTATATTAAAGTGAAATTATTTTGAATTAAATATACTTTGTAAATAATGGATTCAATTTTAATTAACAACTGATGTGCTTTCAACGCATATAAAATTCTAAGTAAAAGCTGTACAATGCCCAAGTGTGATTTAAAAGTATTCAAAATATTTAAAATATGTTAAATTTATTTTAATTTTCAATATAAAATTAACAATTATTTAAATATGTGTGAATATAAAACGTAATAAAAATTGATGAAATTATTCAATGTGTGTGTGTGTGTGTTGCTGGGTAAATAAATTTCCTTCACTTACATAAGGCGCTAGTTTCATTATTTGATTGCCGACAATATCAAAAGAGAAAAGCAACAACAACAAATTGGGGCTTAGGTAACGGTAAGTAACTGACATACTGCTTATTACTAATATCACTAATATTCTCTGGTTTATAAAATATTAAACTAATACAATATTCATTATACGAGGGCGGTTTGATATGTCTGTGACTTTTTGAATTTCCCGCGTAGTTGCTCTAAATGCAACAGTGGTGCCATCAGCTGTAATCTACCAGTGGGCAACTTTTTAATTTTGTGGAAGCTACGTCGTTCAATTGGTGTCTGGTAGTCTTTCAAAGAAGACAATCTCGCGAATTTTTACGAAAATGGAAAAAAGTGAATTTCGTGTGCTGATTAAGCATTGTGGCCAAAACCCACGAATTGGGATACGAAGTGCTACCCCATCTGGCATATACTCCAGATTTAGCCCCCTGCGACTATTTTCTGTTTCCAAACCTAAAGAAATGGCGAAATTCACTTTTTTCCATTTTAGTAAAAATTCACGAGGTTGTCTGCTTCACAAAATTGCCCACTGATAGATTACAGCTGACGTCAGCACTGTTGCATTTGGAGTAACTGCGCAGGAAATTCAGAAAACCACTGACTTATCAAATCACCCTCGTATTACAGATTAGAACATTCAATTCAAAATTGATGTATTTATTAATTATATATTACTATCACAATCGCAATACATTTTTACCACAATAATAAACAATTATGTGACTCCGAAGAAAATTTCATAAATTTAATATAATTGTTTCACAAAACTGTAGTATCCGTCAGAATTTTAATTAATGATATAGGGATTGGCGTGTGTTATATACTTTATTGATTTAAATTTATATAGATTTTACAATTTAATAATAATAATAATAGTTTAAACGGCATGGCACGCTTACTCTTTTGATTACAACGACGAACAACAACGCACTTCGTATTTTACCTTTTTTACCTATTTCTTTATACAGGGTTGCCATAATCGAATATACTACAGCGTGTATAGCTCATTAAATCAATACAAAATGCTATTATTTTTTAAATTAAAGAACTTATAGTTATATTTTTTTATTAAATTTAAATGAATTGGAAATAAAAAAATTATCATTATTTCCTTATTGACATATTATTGATATATATTTATTTTATAAATAATATAATAACTATAGTTGTTCTAATGTTGAACTGCATTTATTTATTGAGTTTGATTACATTAAAGAGGCGATAATTGCTTATTTGTTAGTATTGTTACAATCATGGTTTAGAGGGGTTACCTGCCCAAAGAACGGCAAGCAGTCGTTTGTAATTCTATATTATATTTACTGGTACTATGGACTGCAATTATCACTTTTTATCTAATTTTCATTGTGTTTTGTGCATTATAAAATTTAAAAATTTAGAAAATAATAAATTAATTCAATATATTAATTTATCTTTACTTATATGAAACTTTACCTTATAAGTAAACCTTAATTTCTATTATATTCTTTATATATAATATAATATACTTTATTGATTAAAGTTATATAGATTTACAATTTAATATTAATAATAATTACGGCACGGCACGCTTACTCCTTTAAGCACAACGACGAAACACACATTTTGTATTTTTTCCTTTTTTATCTATTTCTTTATACAGGGTTGCCATGATCGAATATACTACAGTTCCTCCCCCATCAAATAGTCCCGTAACCTTTTTTTGGCGGTTGCCTCTGCCGGTACGGTCGCGATTTTAATGTTTCATCTCTTTTATCTTTTTCTTCTAATGACCCCTCTACTTGACTATCTGGTAGGATATATTCATTTGATGAATGACCTGCACTTACTTGGTCGTCTTGCTCTTCCGGTTGTGCCACTGAAGTTACTGCTACTGGAGTTATATTGGATTCTAAACTTGTCGGTGTCTCCGAAACTCGCTTATGCAACTGGTCAATATGTCTCGACAATATGTTACTATTTGATTGAATTTTGTAGTTGCGATCTCCTGTTGATTGTATAATCCCTGGCATCTACTTTTCACCTCTTCCAAAATTTCGGTACCAAACACTTTCACTACACTGGAAACTGCGAACTGGTTTTATTTGTTTGGAATACTCATCAGAATTTAGCTGCTTCTGAGTGTTGTCATCACTGGGGTGCAAATGATCTAACAATGTTTTCAACTTCCTTCCCATCAAGATTTCTGCTGGACTCGAATTTGAATTTGCATTAGGAGTTGTACGCAGATGCAAAAGTATATTTGCCAAATTCTTATTGATGTCTGACGACTGCATTTTCTTAAGGTGATTCTTAATGGTTTGTACAAACCTTTCTGCTTGCCCGTTTGACGATGGATGATACGGTGCCGTACGTATGTGCTTTATACCGCTAAGTTTTAAATATTTCTCAAATTCTTCTGACACAAACGTTCGCCTATTATCGGACACAATGGTATCTGGTATTCCGTGTGTTGCAAATATTTCTCTCATTAACTCGATTGTTCTAATCGCATTTATTGTACTGGTTATTTTTACCTCTACCTACTTGCTATGAGCATCTACGACGATAAAAAATTTGTACCCATAAAGGGTCCCGCATAATCAATATGTAACCGGGACCATGGCCTTAGTGTTGCTGGCCATGGTTTACCTGCTGCTACTGGAGGATTCTTTTTATTACATGCACACTTTTCACAACGTCTGGCTAACATTTCTATATCTTCATCTAAACCAGGCCACCAAAAATAGCTTCGCGCCACTGCTTTCATTGCCGACATGCCTTGATGAACTTCGTGCAACATCTCAAGTATTCTGGGACGTTGTATTGCTGGTATTATTACCCTGCCTCCCCCTAACAAGCATTGTGCATTCACTGATAGTTCCTGGATTTTATTCACAAACGGTTTAAACTGAATTGATTTATATGGCAAAACTGTATCTTTCCTTTAGATATGCCACATTACTTTTGATAGTACTGGATCTCTTCTGGTTGCTTGTGCAATGTCTTTCGCAGTGATTAAAAACTGTTCCTCAACCTCATTGCAATATAATATTTCAGGTATTTCCGGTATTTGTAGCTTTACATCATTTAAAGGTAACCGGCTCAATGCATCTCCATTCTGGTGATGTTTCCCTTCTCGGAATTTAATCTCGTACTGGGAAGCGCCTAACTTTAACGACCACCTTAACATTCTGGGTGATATATGCTGTGATATTGGTTTTTCTGGGTTGAATAATCCCACTAGTGGTTTATGATCAGTCATTATTGTAAATTGTCTACCACTTAAAAATTGAAGAAACTTTTGCACACCAAACATAATCGCTAGCGCTTCTTTATCCAACTGTGAATAATTTCGTTCCGCGCCCTGTAATGTTCTGGAGCCAAAAGCAATCGGTGCTTCACTTTCATCCGGCATCTTGTGTGCCAAAACCACGCCAACTCCATACGGTGATGCGTCTCCGCATAATATCAGTGATAAGTCAGTCGAATAATGCACCAACAAATTTTTTGATTGTAGTAGTTTCTTTGCTCGTTCAAAACTTAATTTCTGTTCTCTACTCCTTTTAAAAGGTATCTCTTTTCTTAATAGTTGATACAGCAGTTCCAATAGATCGCCCTTATTCTGTAAAAATCTATCATAAAATGTAATTAACCCAAGAAAAGCTTGTAGCTGTTGTTTATTTATTGGTTCTGGTGCTTGACCTATTGCCTTCACCTTTTCGTCAGTTAGACGCACTCCTTCTCGGCTTATCTTAAACCCCAAAAATGTTATCTCTTGTACTGCGAAAACACATTTTGATTTTTTAAGCTTCAATCCTGCATCCTGTACACATTTCAGAGCAGTTCGTGTTCTATCCCACAACTCTTCCAAAGTTATTTCGCCAATTAGAATGTCGTCTAAATAAATAATCACACCATCTATGTTCTTAAGAACTCCTTCCATCACCCGTTGAAATATACCTGGTGCCGTTGAAATTCCAAACGGTAATCTTGTAACTTCAAAAAGTCCGCGATGTGTGTTTAATGTAAGTATCCTTGCTGATTCTTGGTCAGCCTTCACCTGTGTATACGATCGATCTAAATCAAGCTTTGTAAACCCCTTACAATTTGCTAATTCTGCTAGCACTTCTGTATTAGTAGGTAATGGATACGTTTCCTTGCAAAGCATTTGATTCACTCTGCACTTATAATCTCCACAAATGCGTATGCTACCATCTGGTTTAATAATAGGTACAACCGGTGTTGCCCACTCACTAAAGGATATTGAACGCAGTGCGCCTTCATCTTCCAACTTCTTTAATGTTGCTTCAACCTTGAGTTTTAGTGCAAAAGGTACTTGTCGATATCGAAGAAATTTCGGTTTACTTGAAACTGACATTTGTAACTTCACAGGATTTCCCTTGTAATCTCCAAGTTTTCCATCAAAAACTGAACTGAAGTTCATCACTTCTACTGGAATAGTTGATTCTATATTACATAAATTGCTAGTTATAGTAATTCCCAAATCGTTAAACCAATTTCGACCAATTAGAGCCGGACCATCACCCGCTGCTACTAACAACTTTAGTTTCTTTGTGACGTTCCCAACCGAGACTGGTACTTCTGCTTCTCCACTCAGTTTAAGATTTTTCTCTGTTCCCCAAGTTCTTAATTGTATTGGACTTGGTTTTAGCGGAATATACGGCATTTTTTCTCTAAATAACTTTTCACTTACTATTGAGTAACTTGCCCCAGAGTCTATTTCCATTTGTACCGGTGACTTACCTATCGTAATCACTCTCTTGACCGATAGACTACCTTTAACGAACATTGACCATAAATACTCCGTCGTTTGAGTTTTCTGGTTTGTATCTAAAAGATTTACTCTGTTTGGTCTTCTCCCATTATTTGTTGCTGGCTTTTTGGTTTTTGCTTTTTTTATGCAAGCTCTCTCAATGTGTCCACGCTTTTTGCAATAATAACATTCCGCGTCTTTAAATTTGCACTGATCTGAATGATGATTTCCTCGACAACGATAACAATTCTGAATATAGTCCACTGGAGCACGATTTGGTTTTACCTTGTTGCTTGAAATTTTATTCAACCCTGGCAGGCTGGCTGACGTTTTAAGTTCCGTCGCATTTTTTTGTGCTGTTTCTGATGCTATAGCTTCCTCCTGCGCTATTTTTAGTGTTAACTGGTCATTCGCCAGAAGCCGCTTTTGTAAATTTTCATTGCGCATGCCACAGACTAGTCTGTCCCGTAACATTTCCTCCAAATCATTGAAATTGCAGTCTTGGCTCAATTTCCTTAGCGCTGCCAAATATTCGGTAATTGATTCGTCCTCTTTTTGGTTTCTCCGATAAAATTTAAACCTTTGTATTATTATATTCTCTGCCGGACAAAAATAACTAGTCAATAATTTAGTTGCCGCCTCAAATGTAAATTTTTCCTCTAAAATATTAATCGGTGTGGCAACCGATTAGGTTTCCGTCCCACATGAGGCTTTTTTAGCCTCGCTTTTTTCTTTTTTGCGTCTGTGATGTCATTTGCAACAAAGAAAAATTCCATTTGTTCCATGTATGTTTTCCATTTCCCCGACGCCACGTTATATTAATTTAATTCACCAAAATTCTTCGCCATCCTTTAATGTTTTATCCTCGTCGCCAAATTTTATTTAATTCTTTATATATAATACAATATATTTTATTGATTAAAGTTATATAGATTTACAATTTAATATTACTAATAATAATAATTACGGCACGGCACGTTTACTCCTTTGAGCACAACGACGAAACACACATTTTGTATTTTTTCCTTTTTTATCTATTTCTTTATACAGGGTTCCCATGATCGAATATACTACAATTTCTCTAAAATAAATTTGGAATCTTGCATCACTAAACGCAGAAGAAATACAAAATCAAACAGAAATAAATACATTAAACAGAAATAACTGCCATTAAAACTGTTATTGAATTATTTTGTATTAACAAAATCGAAAGTTAACTCAATGATAATTATAAAAATGATCGGCCAAAATGTTGTTCATATATGTTACGTTTTACATATAACCAAACGAATTATAAAATGTTAAATCCTGTTTGTTCTATTTTGTTGTTATTATATATTACAAATTTATTTTGTAGTTTTAATTCTGTTTAGTTTTTTATTTTTTGTTTCCTATTTTTGCTTTTAATTTTAATTTTTTTTTATATATTTTTATTTATATATTTTCCTTACTTTATTAATTCCTTACTTTCTTGAAAATAAATTTATTAATAGAATGATCTATTGAAAATAACAACAACAGTTACCAATTAGTACTGAACAAAAACAAAAAGAAAACGTTATCCTAATCACTTAATTCGCATTAACAGAAAGCTGGCACATGGCATTGATATAAATATTGAATTAAATTTATTTTAACGAAATTTAAAACTTAACTCATTGAGAATTATAAATAATTATTAACTAAAATGTTGTTAATATATTATGACAGAGAAATTGCACATTCAAAAAGTAATGATGATGATTCGTAATATCACTTTGTTTAATGCTGTCATGAAATATGTAATTAGCATATTACAGAATAACAAAATAGACAGAATTAGCATTCTGAAACATAGCATCTTTCAATACCAAATACAAAGAAACAATTATAATAATGGCAGAACAAGAAGAAGTATTTATATATGGTATTGCAAATCATGTTGCAAAAATAAAACACAAAAGACATGATCCTAAGTAGTAAGGTCGTGTGCGAGTTAGGCTAAGTTGCGTTCTAAATGAGGGAAATTCTAAGTTGTGCCGATAATATAGTGACGTGCCGGTACGTGTTGATAAATGGCTAAATGTGTGCAGTGCAAAAAATCCCAAAACATTTTCCATTTGGTTTAGCATCAACTTAGCCTAACTCGCACACGACCTAAGTATAACGAGAACTTTTCTGAAGTTTAATACAGTTTTACTTTACTAAAGCATCTCAATGCTTTTAATAGGTGGGAGGAGAGACTTCGCATATGTTATGTTGTATGAATTTACATTGGTACTGCTCTTTGTTGATCTTTTAATAACAAGTTGAGAAGAACCCAGCCATCAGATTATAAAAGACTTCTGGCTAAAATACCAGCCTATACCAATAATCAGGCGCTGAAACGTAGGAAGGTTTGTATATAATTTTTTAAATATATCTAGGCTAAGAGGGAGAACGTAGGCAATGATTATTACGGGCAATAATAAATAATAAATAATAAAACATATTCAGGCTCTTTAAGAATATACTCCATAAAATGGGTTGCTATTTCGGCGGTTGAGCGACGGAATTGTGTTCTTCAATGATACACTGTATTAAAAACGATAGTTTTGTTATAATAATTATATGTTAATTTTTTTTTTGTTTAATCGAAACGAATTACATGTGTTGTTTATTATCATGATTTTTTTTTAAGTTTTTAGAAACGGAAGTTATTATAATATTTAGGTCGTGTGCGAGTTAGGCAGGTTCACATTTCTGTGCACTTTTTAACTTTGGCTGCCAAAGCGGATCAAGATGTTTTACCTTTTCAATATACAAATTGTTTACAAACAATGTTGAACACAAACAAATTATTCAAATGTCAAAAATTAGCAAAACAAGATTGCCAAGTCATTGAAAAGAAATTGACTTTGTTTTTTGGAATCAGCCACTATAATAAAATTTTATCAAAGAAATGTTTATAATACTAAATAAAAGTAATTAAAATTTTAGAAAATACAAATATTTACAGAATTTATTGCAAATGTTCATTAAATAATGAAAAATATATGCTAAAAGTGATCATTTTTCGGTTAAAAGTTTCCTAATAGCGATTATTAATTTTTTCAATACAAATAACACAAAACATTTTAATAAAATTATTTTTTATTGTCATATTCTATATTCTTATATATATTTGAATTCAATTATGAAAATATTATCTTATGAAAATACTAAAATGGCAACCCTGGCGATTTAGTCTCGACTTAGCCACCTCGAAAATATGCTAAGTATCGACACATTACTATATTATCGACACAACTTAGAATTTCCCTCATTTAGAACGCAACTTAGCCTAACTCGCACACGACCTTAATAACTATTCTGCTATGTTATCGTTGCTCTTTTTTCTGCTTACTTGTTTGATGTCTAAACAATAACTTCATTTTTTTATTATTATTTTCTTTCACTGTTACCATCTTTGCTCGTTATTACTTGTGATTTCCACCACAAAAGACATGGAATTGGGAACAGTTATGATAAATAGCTTGAAAGAGCTCAGTGAGAAGTTATTTGGTGTACAGGATATCAGGAGGGAGATATACATTGGTTGAATAAAATATATACGAAATATTTTGAAATGTGTATCTAATCTTTGCTGTTACCGTGTATTCGTTAAAAATCTATTTTCACAACCTTTACAATAGTGATGATAAAACTGTTCTTAATGTAACAACGCCATCTTTTGGGTAATTTAACAAACCTTTGCTTGCTAAGCTTAACTCCAGTCGCTATTTTTCACATTTTTCTCCCACCACCAGTTGATATACCTAATTGACTTTTGACAGCTTCGATTGTCAAAAAAGCTTCGATTGTGATACCAAAGAAAGATTGTTTATTTAGTCATTTTTTAAGAATTTTACAAAAATGTGTAATCAAGTATTTATATTATTTACGGGTTATTCACATATCGACGTTGACGAGCCGAGTGCAATGCGTGCGAATTGCACTTGCACTTTAATACGCACAAGTAGTGGAAAGAATATTATTGTGGACACAATGACAGCCTGGGATGGTGACAAAATTGTAACAGCACTCAGAGAACATAATCTGCAGCCACTGGATATACATATAGTTGTCTGTACGCATGGACATTCCGATCATATTGGTTGTAATTATCTATTTCAAAATGCAAAATGGCATTTCGTTGGTAATTCAATATCACACAGAGATAAGTACATTGAGTGGTCCACAGATGATAGTGCTTCTTTCGCGATTGATGGCATTGATGTTGCGGTACAGCAGACTCCTGGACATACACTTAGTTGTGTGTCTGTTATCGCGGGAAATACACCTTTCGGCACAGTTGGAGTTTGTGGTGATTTATTTGAGCGTGCAGAGGATATTTTTGATGAAACACTTTGGCTTGAAGCTGGCAGTGAAGATGCTACAAAACAAAGACAACAACGTTTACGTATGGCTGAACTGTGTGCATATATAATACCTGGACATGGTCCGGGATTTAAAGTAACTGATAAAATGTTGGAAAAATTACGTAGTGACGCTGGACTGCAGAGTATTTCACTTACTGAAAACATTGCAGAAAAACTGAAGGCACTTGATAATACCGAAAATGAAGCAGTGGCTTTGGAGAGTAAAAACTGAAGTTGCTTGCAATTTTAACACTAAACTATGTCAATCTCAAATACTTTATTGTACAAAACTAAAACTTGATGTCGTATTACTGCCTAATTGATATTTTACATATTCCATTGTTAATGTTTAATTTATTTACTTTTTTTGGTGCTAACCATTTGTTATTTATTTAATATTGTTAACTAATAAATAATCTTAAACTAATTATTATACTAAATCAATATATTATATACTTAGACACTAGGGAAAATTCTGCTCTTATACAATATCTCAAGAAATATTTAGGTTTATGTGCCAGTACGTTTCATCTTCTCTCACATATGTATGCTCTCTGAAATATAATATTCCATTCATTTAAAAGTATTAGCAAATAAGTAATTAATGATAAGTAATTAATTTCAATATACATTCATTTTTTTCTCATTAGCCCGTTTATAAAAATTCAAGTTATCTATTTTTAATAATATAAGTACGATTACATTACGTTACAGCAAACATTATTTCTAACTAAGGATCAGATGAAGAACACAAACATTCAAAAACTATAAGTATATAATTAAAGTACTAAGGGCAGCTTCGTCTGCGACAATCAGGAGACGAACTAGAATTACTAAATTTTTGTTATATGTTATATGTTCCAACATAAACAGTGGAACTTGGAATACTTGACTATTGTCTGGACTAATGAGTTTATGCATCTTGAGTTTGATCAGCATCTCTTTTGAGTTTAAGATAATGTTAGACAAAGTTAGTACTACTATCATATAATAATTAAAACTTAATTAGACTTTTAAATTATTCGTTTCTTGGAAAATTTGTTTAAACAAAAAAACTGACCTTTGATCAAAATATAATTAAATTGAAATTATAGCATTTCTTTGACAGCCTTTCTATCCAGAAAATTTTTGTCTACAAATTTACGGAATTATAAATAATCTATATTAGAATTGTTCTAAGATTATGGTATGAATGATTGGAATGATTGGAGGAATGATTTTTCTTAAGTCAAGTTTTTCCTAAAGCGTAGAAATATATAACACAAAATTAAATCTGAGAGTTGAAATAAAAATTTTAATAACATAGTCTTCATGGAAAGGTAAAAAATACCCTAACGGAACTTTTTTAGGATTCAAACTAGCAACTTGACCACCTAATTGATTTCTATTTAATATTTTACCCACTTTTCAACAATCTCTGGCTTCCGTGATGTTGACATTCGACTACATTCGAAATTACTCTATTCTAATTAAATATATTCAATTTAACAGAGAACATTGAGTTACATACCCGTTAGGTTATACCGGTGATCCCCAGTGGATCCACTTAGGCCTATTGGCCCATTGTGATGCCGTATATAAATAATGTAACCTCAGGGTTTAAAACCACCTAGAATCTTTTGCGAAGCATAGAATGCTATTTAAAGTCAGATCCTGTAACTGGTCCAGGTTCTCAAGGAAGGGGGCTCCTAAAGTGCTAAGTCGCCGACGTACATGAGCTGGGCAAAAACACAAAAGATGAGAGCGCACTCTCATCGTCCTCCCCACAGCTTCGACAGATTTGATTGAAAAGAAGACCTAGTCTTCTAGCATGGCTCCCTAGTTTACAGTGTGCTGTAGTCAACCCTCCCAGAAGACCAATGTCTTTGCGGGACATCTCAATTAGAGTTTTCGATTTCATTTTATTGAAAAGTGTCCAGATTGCATACAGATGTCTACTTATCGATGAGTCTTCCCATCTTTTGTTAAAAGCACATACCCGTTACTTACCAAAAAAAACAGTTAGAACAAATTATAAGATCCTCTTCAAATCGGAAATATTTGAATGTTAAAATTAAAAAAGAAGGAACTTTTTTAAACTTCCGTTGAAAAGTACCTTTTAGTTTAAGTATTATTTATTAACTATCAGAACACGCGGCATTTAATGAATCACTAAGTCTGTTATTATTAAAAATGCAGTAAATTGAAAGTAATTTATTGTATATTGTTTTAGTTTAAATCATTTCAAGACGAATATAAATTGATCCAATACGACAGTTGATTTTCTACAAAGATTGCTGTCGATGCTTAACAATAAAGTCCCTCTAACAATATAATATATTTATTTTTGTTTTAATTTTTGAGTCGTTACTTCGAAAATGTTTAAATGCGGTTATTTTTGTTTTTTAAAAATATACTAACTTTTATTTCGAAAGTTTTTTTGTGTATCTCTACACGTGTTTCGGCAAATTCGCTTTTGCCTTCATCAGGAGAATTCCTAATATATTAGGAGAATGCCGAAACACGTGTAGAGATACACAAAAAAACTTTCGAAATAAAAGTTAGTATATTTTTAAAAAACAAAAATAACCGCATTTAATATAATATATTCTCATCTAGTCTACTTGTGATATATAATATTTAATAACAAATGAAGTAATTAAAAGGACTTGCCGTGAAGAAAAAGTGCAGAAAAAAACTAAATAGATTTAATGGTAGTTATTAAAAGTAAAAGCAGATCTGTTGATTTACTATAGACCATGACATCAGCAGATTATAAATCACCTTTTAGTTTTAAAGCTTACAGAAAGTAAATGAATAACCCATCTACTCTAAAACAATAAAGTCAGACTAAAAACGTCAAAATCCCCGAAAGTTTTACTATGTAGTCAAAATTCTTTCTAAACGGACAATGAACACATAGAACTGGTAGTTAAATAAATAAGCAAGATTTTAAGATATCAAATTTAATATTTGATATAGCAATCAATGCCTGATATAGCAATGTATATATCGAACCAATTATTGCCAAACATTATAAAAACGTAGCGCTATACATATAGTAGAAGCAATACGAATCCCACACACACACACACATTTCTATCATCGTAAAAACGCTGGGCGGTATCTAAACTCAATTATTTGTAAAACGGAAGTGCTTTAAAATATCTAGAAGCACGATTTTGATATCCTAGGCATGCTTGTTTGACTACCGATTTTAGAAGAATCAGCTATAGTAGACAATTTTTTTTCTATGTCGCTTTTGTAAACAATATAAAAATTACTTACACTAGTTGGCGATAGATGGTATATGCAGTTTATTCTAAGTGTAAAGTTTATAATATTAAGCTTCGAAAACTGGAAAAGTAAGCTATATCCGAATAATACCGTGATAGAAAAAGTTGCTCAAAATATTAAAAAATACTGAATATTATTGTCAATTCGATATGCCAAGGAAATCACAATAACGTTCATCAAACTTTGATGAACTATCTAAAAACCATTTTTGCTAAAGAGATATTATAGGTGCTTCGACTCAAGTTAAAGAAAAAAATGCTAACAAGAATTAAAATGTGCAGTAATATGTTTAAACGCTGTTTTATATATTGTAAATATACCACATATATAGTACCATATAAACAAATTAATTTTATCTACTCCTTTTCTTACATTTGATGTGTTCTATGAATAGTATAAGTATCCCATTAAGAGGTTTAACCTACGAAATATATATTTTTAATAGTTTAGAATAAAAGGAGAAAAATTTTTTATTCTCCAAATTTTGTGAAGCAATCTAGGTTGATCCAAAAACTAATCATTCATTCTTCGTAAATAGAAAATTTGTAATTAGGAACAGAACATACTGATATAGCAAAAATGAAGATCTAAGGTTGATTTCTCCAGAGTACTACAAAAACCATTCTTATTAATAAAGAATTATATATAGTAAAGTATTATGAAAGACGAAAAATATATATTAATTAAACGAAACCTAAGTTTAAGGAATAATTTTATTCGGTGCAGTTAACTAATTTTGTATTACTCTGTAAATTGGCTTAAAAAACGGAGTTGTAAGGTTCAAACCTCTTATAATAGGTTAGGTTAGGTTAGGTTAGATTATACCGGCGATCCCAGGGGGATCCACTTAGGCCTATAGGCCCATTGTGATACCGTATTATTTAGAACCCATGGGCTAAAACCATCCAGAACCTTTAATAACCTCTTATAATATGTCGAACCACATATAACTGATTTATTTAAATTTAATGTTTCGGTATGAACTTTGAATTAGTTTTCAAAAGGGCTCCCTGATTTGAGTCTCTGTTTACGCTCCTGCACTCATTGACTTAATGTGATCATAAAAATGAAAAAATGTTTGATTTAAATTTTAAAAACAAATCTTTCTTTTATTTGCTTAAATTTTTTATATATTCTCTTTTTCTTGTTTTTTTTTTTGTTTTTAATATTTTTACTTACAATTAAATTATAAAACTTTGTTTTAAGTTGTTCTAAATTTTGTTTTATAAATAAAATACTAATACTTATAGCTAAAATACAATTGAATATAATATATATAGATCTTATATATATTATAGACTTCTTTTTGCTAATCACTCGATTTACAAATAACGCAACTAATTTTCAGTTTACTCAATAATATATAATTTTGTCTTTAAATATTTAACATTAAATATTAAATTAAATTTTATTTTTTACAATTAATAATTTTTTTTTCAATTTTGTTGAATTTCCTTATAGTTAAAATCATTTACTCATATTTTAATAATTTCTAATTTTCGCTTATATATTTACATTTTTTAAATTTTAGCTAAAGTTTATTTCATTTAAACATTAGTAATACATTCAAATATCTCAAAGAAATTTTCGTTATTTACACAGAAAATTGCAATTCTTATTTTAGTTTATAACTTTCATTCCTTTTTACTAAGCACATTAATGATTTTTTATATATATAATGAATCGGAATTCTAAAGAATATATTTAGAAAAACTTTTTTTTTTTATTTAAATCATTCAACTACAAACATTTTTCTTTCTGTAGTACTATATTCACTCGTCCAGAAAAATAAAATGTGTGCAATTAAGAATAATTTTAATTTTAATTTAAATTTAAATTTAAGTTTAATTATTATTCTATTGTTGATTAAAAAAATTAATTGTTTCAATGACAATTTAAAATAATTAAAATTAACATTTTTAAATTTTCGAATTGAACATAATATATATGTACTAGAAACATAGTATATAGTATAGAATATTAGAATTTATGATAATTATAACGAACTTTAAACGAATGTATCTTAAAAATGTGAGTCTAAATATTCTCTCCGAATTCCAATCTAACTAGTTATTACAATTTTTCACAAATTTTCTTTAGTTCTGAAAATTATCTTAACAATTCACACACAAAGTTTTGAAAAGTTCACAACCTGAGCACTATTGAACTTAATATATAAAATCGTTTATAATTGCAAAAAACTGACAATTACCCAACCAAAAATTCTATATAATATTTACAATTACCAAAAACAAAACGTAAAAATATTAATAATTATAATTATAATTAAAATAATAATAATAATAATCTTTGCAATTGCAAAACGAGGCTTAAACGAGAGTGAAGACAAATACTTTTGTGTACAAAAAATAAATATCAAATATAAAACTGAAGATTATACTCGTAAAATTGTAGTTGAAGTAGAAGGAACCTGCTTCTTCTTAGTGCGTACATCACAAGCTTGGCTATATGCCATAATAAAATATCACTGGCCTATCGCACTGGCCTATAGTGCTTACAATTGATACTAACTTCCGACCATGATATGTGCCGGTTGTTCTAGATCGTTATCATGCACGGTGGAATAACGTGAGGTCGATACAGGTGTCAAACCATTTTTAAAGAGTTCATCGGAGGAAAGTTTACAGCTGGGTACTAGTTCTGTAAATTCGGTACCCAATCCAAATTCCATATCTAGAAAACCATATTCCCATGTTGAGGCAGAACTTGATGTTATATTCGTGCTTACAAACGATGAGGTGAGCGAGTGTGTTGCAGAAGAAATAGTGGAGAGTGTAGTGAATGTGGCCGTTGTAGATGAGCTGGGCGATGTTGGTGATATTGCTGCACTACTGTTGGCTGTTGTACTTGTACTGGCACTTGAACAAGCCGTTGCTGTTGTGGTTGAACTTTGCACCGTTGTAAAGGAACCGCTAATCGATACTGCTGTACTTTGTTGTGAGGATTCACTTTGTGCAGTTAATGTTGAGTTGGCTGTTGCTATTGGTACAGGCACAGCTGTGGCAGGATTTGTTACTGATGTAACTGGTGGTAATATTGAAAATAAATCATTATTATTTAATGGATCTAGTGCTGATTGTGAGGAAAGACTCAGCACAGAACTCCAATTAATTGATCTCGTTGAATCATCGTCCGCATACCCGCTATCACTATCATTCAAACAGCTGGTGGCACTCGTTAGGTTGGTTGCTACTGGCATTGCTGTGTTGGCTACCTGTGTTGCTAAGGGTGCTGTTGGTGGTGCAACTACAGTAGCTGTTGGACTCACTGCCGTGGGTGCTTGTGTTTGTGGCACTGAGGCCAATGGTGTTGAGATCACAGTTTGGCATGGAAAAGGTGTTGCTCGGCCTGATTGTGCGTCCCGGAAAGGATAATGATCGTATGGATGTAGTGTCGCCGAAGTTGTTACATTTGAATCACAGTTGGTATTGTTCAGGTTGAAATTGGTTAAAGGTTTTTGTAGTTGCGGTTGTGGCGTTGTTAAATATGGCGGTGGCGTATCTAAACGGTCGTGTTGATTGTGATACATTTGCGTGTGCTGCTGTTGTTGAAAATGTTGCTGTTGTTGCTGCTGCTGCTGCTGTTGTTGTTGATGCAGTTGATGTTGTTGCGTTTGATGCTGCTGCTGCACTTGATACTCCATGTTGGCTAGTCTTGCACAATTCATTACTGGTGCATATTCTAAATGCTGTTGTTGTTGATGCAACAGTGCTTGTGGCGGTTGCTGTTGTGGCTGACTAATTTGCTGCTGCTGACTATGATGGTGATTATGATGCGAATGATGCTGCAAATGGTGCGGATGATGGTGTTGATGATATTGTGCATGTTGATGGTGATGTTGTTGTGCTATATGCGCTGCCACCTGATGTAATTCTTTTGCTTCGGCTTCAATTTCACGATCTATGCGCTTTAACGTATTACATATTAGTACTGATCGGTATAAGGATTGTTCTGAAACTTGACGGAAACGCGATAACTTAAACATGGAGATGTTTCGTATTTTTAATCGTATATCTTTGTAGCAGTTTTTGTTCGTATTGCACCAAGTACTGCGCCCATCACAGCAACGTTTCAATGGATGTCTAGCATCTAAGTTAGCTGCAGCTACGTGTAAACTGTTGAATGGCGGTGGAGGAACAGGTGTATTATTATTCACATTTGGTGTTGGACTACTACAACCAAGTTCCAGATAAGATTTGCCATTTTCAGCACAACGTATTGTCTGCTGTTGCTGCGGCGGCGGATAAGCCGCTTCAGGTGGTACATAAAACTGTTGTGCACCATTATTGCTAGCTTGCCATTGTGTAAAACCATTCACTATACGAACATGTTGTGGACTGCCAGTGCGTGAGCAATTTTGTTGTGGAAAAGGTTCTGAATAGAAATTAGGCCTTGAAACATAACCATGTGCGGGAGAATAGCCACCTAAACGTTGAGGTGACTGATGTGGCGGCGTTGAAGTTGGTGGAAATGAATGATACCGTAATGGACAATAGGTTGGTATGATGCTCTCTTCTTCCTCATAATCATCTTCAAAATCATCGTCGTCATCGTCTAACTCATCAGCGCTGAGTAGCGTTGTAGCGAGTGTTGAACGAGTTGATATGCTACCCCATGGATCGCTAGGTACTGCAACTGCTTGCAGTTTTGATATACAATCAACTGGTTCGGTGCTTGTCGCCCATGGTTCACAGGGTACAGCTGCCACAACTTCTAATTTAGCAATACTGTCTTCAGGGACGGGTGTAGTTGATGTGGGAGGCAGCGGCGTTGTTGCTGAAACTTCGGCTGCTGTAGGAATTAAACTTGTTACCAATGTGCTGACTAAAGGTGATGTTGTTGTTATATGTTCAGTAACTTTAGTAACTTCTTTACCGTTAATACTCGTTAATGTGGTATTATTGCTGCAGTCATTGCTGCAACTTTTACTTTCATTATTGTTGTTGTTTAAATTTATAGTGTCTTTTGTGCACTCTACAAGTGTTGCTGTTGGTTTACTATCGTTAATGGTAAGCTTATGGCCTGTTAATTGTTCTTCAATTGCTTCAATGTAATTATTGTTGTTAAGTGACCATTTGCTGGTCTTGTTTGGTGGCGGACAGTTTGTATATGTATTTGCATCCTTGCCTTCAAACGTAATATCATGCTTCCGCTTATTAGCGGCAGTAGCTTGAAGACCCATTGCAGAATTAACCTGAAAATAAGAAAAATAATTATAAGTTAAGATTATCAAAATATGATAAATATATTTTTATTAATGTTTTAATATTTATGGTTTATTATTAATAACTCATATCCTAACACATATTATTATTATTATTTAAAGCACATTATACTTAGAGATATGACAGTTTGAAAGAGTGGTTTTTTCTAAGATATTTCAAAACTTTTGTGCATGTTAGTTTATCTTTTATTATTTTAACTAAAGATCCTGACTTAAGATTTCTTATATGGCTTAAACTGTAATTAATTTCTTTTTTTAAATAGTTATGTTACATTAATCTTCATTAAATATTTTTATTACCTTTCATTATTTACAACTAGAGATCCTAACTTAAGAAGTATAATATAATTTGAACTAATATGTTTCTACTTTTTAATGTATCATGTTATAGTAATAGTATATGAAAGACGACATGTTATATAATATGATTCTTTGAGATAGTGTCATAACATAATGGTAAAGATTTAATTTGTATACTGCTTTAATTTGTATATCGATAAATTTTTGGAATTAAAAATTTATTATTACACATAAATACGAATTTATATTACTTTTAACACAAATGACATATCAAGAGAACCTTATAATGTACCTTGTGAAAAAGTTTAGTCGCACCGTATGTCTCTAACATTTTTGGCGCCAAAATCAAAGTAGACATTCAACGTTCTACCGTTGTTTTATAAAAGAGAAAATTGCCATGCAAACTTACTAGCATTTACAGCTTTAACTGTAAGACGTAGGATATAAGAGGACGTCATATAAAAATTAATGTGCCACATACCTCAAAGACTACCATACGAAATAAGTTGCTATGTGTAAAGTTCAAACGGTTTACACCCACACAAAACAGTTGTGTGTAGTTACCACAGACAGACTTATTGTGTAAACCTCCACATTCAACGTTCCTTAAACTCACAAAGCAAAATATTTTTATCAAGAAATTGTATTTCATTCCCCCTACCCCTCTCTAAACGTAATCAGGGAAATGTATCTTAGTTGTAAGTGTGTTGGTATATGGAATACACCGAAAAAATAAAACCAAACCAATTTTCTGATGTGCACAAAAGCAACCAAGTGAAGCTGCCTTAATGTCGAGACCGACATAAAGTTCACCCTGAATGAAAATGAAACGAAAATACTAGTGTTTCTGCTGCTATCTATCCTAACCCTCATTGTAGCCTTACCACGCACCCGTGCATATTTCACTGATGTGGAGCATTTGTAGACAAGAGCCGCATAGTAGCAACTTAGTCAATGCCGCCGCGTAATAGCAGTGTAACACTAAAGAAATGATGACGGCGTTGACGATGGTGAAGGCGATGTAGACCATGAAGACGTTGTAGAATTTGAGTAGGTTTGGTGTCTTCCTCAAATGAAATGCTATGAGGGAACATTTACATTTTCTTTGAACAATTTTTTTGATTTTTTCTTTTTTCATATTTAATTTTCCTTCCACGTTAAAATACACAAACAAAATGAAAGAAGAAAAAAAATTACATTCAACTAATATCAAATGAGAGCTTGTGTGTTGCTGTTTTTGTTGTTGTGCGTCGTTGTTGTTGCTGGAAAGAATTGATGTACCCGTATTTTACCACAGCACTTGGAAGCAACAACATGGCAGGCAGCAGCAGCGGCATGGGAAGCACTAACAGTTAAGCAATAAAGTTTCCTTTACAAAATGTAAACTCGTTCTAAATCTAGCCAAGATATTGCCAAAGCTTTGAATAGCAACAACAGCAACACCAACAGCATTAATGCCACTTGCAACAATATGAAGCAGAAACTGAAGCAGTAGTAGAAGTAGAAAACGTTTGCTACAAAATCAAAAGAATTTACAACTTTTTGTGATATCAGCACAACAGTGTAGGAAAATTGTTGAAGCAAACTAATGCCCTCGACAAGCACCAACTAACGAGCAATAAATAGCGAGTTGCAAACGTTTCACTAGTTGTTTCTAGTGCAGCAAAACCAGTTCGTAGTTGTTTGGGTAGCGCTGGCTTATAACTTTATTGCTTAAATATTTATTAAAGACAACGTCGTTGTAATATTATGTGCTATGGTACTGGCAAAACAACAGCCACGACCAACCAACATTTACAGCTCAAGAGACAACATCTTCCTTGCTCGCCCATAATGCCGTCTTTGACGTACAACAGCTTCACAACGTTGCTTTTGTTCCTTCAGCTTTGAGCTAAAATTGTTCACATCTACTACTGCTAACATTTTATGTAGAACGTAGAAAATTTCATTATAAATTTTCAACTTGACTGTTGTATACGAAGAAATATACGAAACGAAAAATACGAAACTCAAATGTCAAATAGACATTTGCTCGCAGCTCGTACCTCGTAGCTCGTAGCTCGTAACTTGGTTTTGGGTCGTAAGAAAGTAACGACGTTACCAGTGTGTGAGAACAATGAAAATTTAATATAATTTTTTTTCTTTATTATTTCCTTTTTCCATTTACCATGAGTAATTTTCAAATACTGAACGAAAACACAAAAGAGGGTTGCCATATGTTTGAGTAGTGTGCCGTCTACTCGTAGGCCACATAGACTTACCGAAGCAAACGTACCAAAAAATGTGTAGTATTTGTTAGGTATCAGGCTATATAGTATGTGTGTATGGGTTATAAGTAAGAGCAGTTGCTGTTCTCTTGGGGTGAGTCGGAAACTAACAAGGGCGGTTGCACATTTTACTTCAGTTTTCGTACACATTGCATGTGTTTTTCAGCTGATGAACAAAAACAGACATAACGTAGTACTGCCAATCTTCGGAACGTATTTCATCCCCTTGTATATTTTATGTAAATACCAAAAAATAATGCAGCTAAATTGTTTGGTGTGTCATGCAAGCGAATGCCGGTTCCAAATTAAACCAAGTAAAGCTGCTGCTTTACAAAATAATGTATTAAAACAACAACAAAAAACACAAACGCTTGCAATGTGCAAGCAGTAGAAGTTTTCTCAATCAACAAACCCTGCTGCATATGCCGATGCGTACGGTTTAGGTACGTTTGCATGCAGGAAGACTCCATCCGTATATTTTTAGAAATTTATGCCGACACCGATGATGGCGTTGGTAGTCCGTACGACATTCGTCTGTTTAGCTGACATGTGATGTGTCATATTACATGCCCTTTTTTTACTGAAGGTTTTGCTTTAAAGTTGAAATGTAAAATTAGGAAAAGTTTTTGAAAAGTAGCTAGTTTAAGGGTTAATTTGGGTGACTAAAAATTATTGAAAATAAAATTCTAACTCAATAATTTGTTATTAAAAAACCTTTATTTTAAAGATTTATTGAAAGTGAATTTAGTAAAGTATTGAATATATTAAGGGATCTACTTTCTGGATATATAGAAATAGAAAAAAAGCATATGAAGATATGGCATAACAAAGTGTGATTGGAATAAACCTTGATGCGGCTAGTGTCAATGACACGCTTTGTCTGTTATGAAAGAAATGTACAAGGTGAGATGAAAAAACTGCAACCAACTTCAGACTGCTGTCATTTCTAAACCGCTCGTCCCACAGCTGTCAGATTTATTCTAGTGACAGCTCATTATATTGTTTACAAGCGCACAAAAGCATTTTGGTGGGAATTTTTCAGAAAAAAAGTTATTTGTGATGGAATTCAAGCGTGATAGTGTGATTGCTTTGCATTTGGCTGGAAAACCACAAGTGGCTATCGTTAGAGCCCTCCAGCATTTAAAAGTGAATAAATCTTTTGTGTCTCGTATCATCGCTCGTTACCATGGTACTGGTAGCGTAGCCCGACGTCAAGGAAGTGGACGAAAAAAAACAGCAACATCGGCAGAAATGGTTCGAAAAGTGAAGAAGCGAATCGAACGAAATCCGCGTCGCAGTGGACGAAAAATGGCTCGTGAGCTGTACATATCGCAATATGCCATTCGGCAAATATTGAAAAATGAGCTTGGACTAAAGCCATTGAAGTTCCAAAAAGTGCAAGTTCTTACTGATGCGCAAAAAAAAGTTAGACTCGAAAAAGCTAAAGAGTTGCTTCGCTTGGCCGAAAGTGGTGAACTGCCGAATTTGGTTTTCTCCGATGAGAAACCATTCGTTATCCAGCAGTTTGTAAACAAACAAAATGATCGTGTTTACTTGCCAGAGAGGTCAGCTGAAAATTTGCAACTTCTGTTGGCCACCACAACTCAAAAGCCGGCCATGGTGATGGTGTGGGCCGCCATAACAGCCGATGGTCGCTCGCCGCTCGTATTCATCGACCGTGGGGTCAAAATCAATGCGCAAATCTATCGCGAAAATATTTTGGAGGGAGTTCTGAAGCCCTGGGCACGCAAACATTTCGGCCGCAGACCTTGAACATTCCAACAGGACTCAGCACTATCGCACTCAGCACGCGCCACCCAAGAATGGTTAAGAAATGAGGTTCCTCGCTTCATTTCCACCGCACAATGGCCACCAAAATCTCCGGATGCCAATCCGTTGGACTATTGTGCCTGGGGTATTTTGGAAAGCAAGGTTGGCACTAAAAAATACCAAAGTGTCGATCATCTCAAGCAAGCGCTTCGCCGAGAATGGGACAAAATACCACAGAGCCACTTTCGGGCAGCGTGTGATGGTTTCATTGGCCGTTTGAAGGCCATAGTTCGTGCCAAAGGTGGCCAATTCGAACAATTCTAAACCGATTCTCAAATTTGATGTTATTTCCGACATTTTTTGCTTTCATTCAATAAAATTTAAAAAAAATGAAAAAATTATGGCGTTTTACTTTGTTGCAGTTTTTTCATCTCACCTTGTATATTTAATGTATTGACTGTAAGTTCTATTTTTGATTATTAGCTTAAAAAATGATGATCTTAAAAAATAAGTTTATATTAATACTATTCTCTATCTCCTGTATGTGTTAACTGTATTAAATTAACATCTTTACATATTTTCTACAATATACTTAAAAAATACATAGCAAGATATGAATAAGAATAATTCATT